GATGGGGGTGGGGCTTGAGGTGGGAGGAGGGGATAGGTGGGAGGAAGAACAGGTTAGGGAGGCAGGGACGAGCTGGACTGGTTTTGGGATGCGGTAGGGGGAGGGGAGATTTTGAAACTTGTGAAATCCACATTGATAGCATTGGGCTGCAGGGTTCCCAAGCGGAATATGAGTTGCTGTTCCTGCAACCTTTGGGTGGCATCGTTGTGGCACTGCAGGAGGCCCAGGATGGACATGTCATCTGAGGAATGGGAGGGGGAGTTGAAATGGTTCGCGACTGGGAGGTGCAGTTGTTTATTGCGAACCGAGCGTAGGTGTTCTGCAAAACGGTCCCTGAGCCTCCGCTTGGTTTCCCCGATGTAGAGGAAGCCACACCAGGTACAGCGGATGCAGTATACCACATTGGCAGATGTGCAGGTGAACGTCTGCTTGATGTGGAAAGTCTTCTTGGGGCCTGGGATGGGGGTGAGGGAGGAGGTATGGGGGCAGGTGTAGCACTTCCTGCGGTTGCAGGGAAAAGTGCCGGGTGTGGTGGAGCTGGAGGGGAGTGTGGAGCGGACAAGGGAGTCACGGAGAGAGTGGTCCCTCCAGAAAGCAGATAAGGGTGGGGAGGGAAAGATGTCTTTGGTGGTGGGGTCGGATTGCAGATGGCGGAAGTGTCGGAGGATGATGCGTTGGATCCGGAGGTTGGTGGGGTGGGACGTGAGGACGAGGGGGATTCTTTTTTGGTTCTTATTGCGTGGACGGGGTGTGAGGAATGAGTTGCGGGAGATGTGGGAGACACGGTTGAGGGCGTTCTCGACCACCGAGGCGGGGGGAAGTTACGGTCCTTGAAAAACGAGGACAACCGAGATGTACGGGAGTGGAATGCCTCATCCTGGGAGCAGATGCGGCGGAGGCGAAGGAATTGGGAATAGGGGATAGCATTTTTGCAGGAAGGTGGGTGGGAGGAGGAGTATTCTAGGTAGCTGTGGGAGTCGGTGGGCTTGAAATGAATATCGGTTTCTAGGTGGTTGCCCGCTATGGAGACAGAGAGGTCCAGGAAGGGGAGAGAGGTGTTAGAGATGGTCCAGGTAAACTTAAGGTTGGGGTGGAAGGTGTTAGTGAAGTGGATGAACTGTTCGAGCTCCTCGTGGGAGCACGAGGTGGCGCTGATACAGTCATCAATGTAACGGAGGAAGAGGTGGGGTTTAGGGCCGGTGTAGGTACGGAAGAGGGATTGTTCCACGTAACCTACAAAGAGGCAGGCGTAGTTTGGGCCCATGCGGGTACCCATGGCTACCCAAAATCTCCCCTCCCCCTATCGCATCCCAAAACCAGTCCAGCTTGTCCCTGCCTCCCTAACCTGTTCTTCCTCCCACCTATCCCCTCCTCCCACCTCAAGCCGCACCTCCATCTCCTACCGACCAACCTCATCCCGCCCCCTTGACCTGTCCATCCTCCCTGGACTGACCTATCCCCTTCCTAACTCCCCACCTACACTCACCTTTACTGGCCCCATCCCCGCCTCTTCGACCTGTTTGTTTCCTCTCCACCTATCCTCTCCTCTATCCATCTTCTATCCGCCTCCCAACTCTCTCCCTATTTATTTCAGAACCCCCTTCCCCTTTTCTGATGAAGGGTCTACGCCCGAAACGTCAGCCTCTCTGCTCCTATGATGCTGCTTGGCCTGCTGTGTTCATCCAGCCCTGCACCTTGTTGTCTCGGATTCTCCAGCATCTGCAGTTCCTACTATCTCTGTTCTGTGAACAGCCCTGGTTTCCAATTATATCCCAACCTGTACATGCATGGCACCTAGTGGCTGTTGAGAGAATGGCAGAGCATTGAGCGGGAGAAAGTAGAAGCGAGCAGTGGCGCGAGAAGAATCATAGAAATCATAGAATCCCTACAGTGTGGGAACAGGCCCTTTGGGCCCAACAAATCCACACTGACCCTTGGAGCATCCCACCCAGACCCATCCCCTTATAACCCTACCTAAACACTACAGGCAATTTAGCATGGCCAATTCACCTAATCTGCACATCTTTGGACTGTGGGAGGAAACCAGAGCCCCCAGAGGAAATTACACAGACACAGGGAGAACATGCAAACTCCACACAGAGAGTCGCCCAAGGGTGGAATCGAACCCGGGTCCCTGGCGCTGAGAGGCAGCAGTGCTAACCACTGAGCCAGGAGCGAAGGCTTTTCAAAAAGGGCAGACACAAAACTGCAACCCACAGGAATAACTGACGTTCAGCAGTTGTGAATTGAGTTAATCTATGTGCCTTAAATTCTCTGAAGAATTTCCTGTGATTTGTGTATCCCCTTTCCTGCCCCTATTGAATACTGGACTAGGACAGCAAGCAAAAATGAACAGCTGAGTTCCTGGAGCGTTCTACAATCAGGAGAATGTGACCAGCTCAGAGCTGCTAACTAGGAGACTGTGTGAGAGAGAGAGACAGGGTCTGCATTGCGCACAGTGTTAGCAGGGTTGGGTCACTGCCCTTGTTCAGTGACTGGAGAAGATGTCAGCAGGTGATTGGTATTCAGCTCACGTGTGGGGTGTTATCAGGCAAGGCAAGCTTGACAAGTTCATATTCATGTACAGTGTCAGCACCCAACGCACAGCATTTTAATTCAGCAGGGTGGAACTGTCAGATTCCGACACAGCAGGAAAAAGCTGTTCAGCCCCTCAAGCCTGTTCTATCCATTACATCATGGCTGACCTTTATCATAACTTTATCCACCTGTCCCATAAGCATTATATCCTGACTTTCAGATCTCACTGCTCCCAACATCTGGAGGGTGCAAGTTGTTTTGGAGCGAGCACAGGTGTGTGGGAGAGGGAGTGGAGGTATGCTTTGGATGTGTGTGGGGGTGAGGGATGTATAGTTTGGGGGCGGGCTGTGTGTGTGGGGTTTGAGGGGGCAGTGTATGTTGGAGGGGGGTACAAGGGAGGAGGGAAAGGAACAGGGCTGCTCATCCCCAATTGCCCCAAGAGTTGAGGGAGCTGTTGGGAGGACAGTTAAGAGATAACCCCATTGGTGGGGTCTGTAGTTATATGTGGGTAAGGATGGTGGATTTCCCTTGCTAAAGGACAGTAGTGACCCAGTTGGCTTCTTGTTATAATTTCATAGTTGGTTGTGTGGTTGCCGTTAGAGTACCTTTTTATTCCAGAGATTTTTATTGAATTTAAATTTTCACCATCTGCCACAGTGAGAATTGAATCACTTCCTGAGCTTTTTCCAATGTTTTAATTGAAACTTGGCCCAGTTTAACTTTGTTCATCACCCAAAGACTTGTGTTTGTATCGGGTGTTTGGGTGTTGAAGGATTCTCGCAGTCCACTGTCAACCTGTGCCTTTCCTTAAAACATCAATTGATTGTTACCAAACATTGGGACCTGGAGGTAGGACACAGCTTCTGATTTCAGGTCCTTCCCCAGAAGAGCAGAGCATTGACATTGTGATTGGATGAGAATACCACACTTACTGCTGTACACCGTCTCCATGGCAATATCAGGATGTGGGTGGTCTGGGTCTGTTACCATGGTGACACATGTAACTCAGAGTTTGGGCAGAACTCCTGAGTCTCACCTCATTCATTGTGAAAGGTACCATATTGTAATGAGCTCCACACTGGACTCCCATTCCCCAACATCCTGCTCCAGGCAGACTGTTTCTCTACCCCCCTCCCCACCCACCCACCTTCTTGGCCCTCCCTTCTCCTGCCCTCTTGCCCTAACCCCCTCCCTGCTGTTTTGTTCCCCATCCCTGCCTTCCCCTTTTATGATTGGAAATGGTGTTGCTGAAGGCCCTCTATTGCTGGGAGGGTGGAATTACATTGTGGCGTGTTTATAGAGGAAGATTGTGTTGATGGAATAAGATAGTGTGATATGTAGCAGGAAGGAAGTGCACACAGGTGAATGGTTTTGAAAGTTATATGAAGAACATATAACTGTATGAATTTGGTGCAAAACCAACCATCCAGCCCCTTGAGCCACCTCCACCCGTCAGTAGGATCGTAACTGAGCTTCTGCTTACAGAACGTCACTTGATTAATTCAAAGAAGGAAGACATGGGCCTGTTTTGTTGCAATATGTGGGCAGCAAGAGGTGGTGGCCGCAGGTATTGGGCGATTGTTGGAGTAGTGTTGGTGATGGGAGAGTTTGGCCTGGCTCCTCCATTTTCTGATGGGCCTTTCCTTTGCCCCTGACGCTGTGTCACTGAGTCATCTTCCTCTGTGTGTCATGTATGTGCCTCACTGTTTCAAATGGCGTAACTAGTAGCACTCACCTGACTCTCCCCATTGAGACGTGGTAGTATGTTGGAATATCTCCACGTGTCTGTTGGGTCAGAGAAACCAGTTGGCCTGGTTGGTTTTAGATCCCTCCCCACCCTCACCCTGCTGGGTTTTAGACTGCCCCCCGCTTGTCCTCCTGTAGTGTTAAGGGCTGGATTATTGAGGGTGGTTGCTTCACCTCCTTCCTGCGTCAGTGGTATGGATGGTGCCAGTTGATGGGTTTATAATTGATTGTGACATTTCAGGGAAGTTGAATGTTACGTCTTGCTGATGAAAGTAACCCTCTCTCTGCTGGTTTCCTATAAGCAGCGGCTAGTAGCCCACTGACTGTTTAGTTGCTTACGAGAGTTTGGCCTTGATAGTAACTGTGTTGTGAACCCTGTGGCGCACCCCACCCACCCCCAACACCCCCAAAACCAACCACTGATTTGTTCCAGCTGGGACAGACAGCTGTGTACCAGTCAGTCACAGTTTTTGTGGACCTGTCCCTCTGCCAGGCTGGGTGCAGGGGAGGGAGGCCGGTGTGAACTGGTGTGCGGAGGGAAGCAGCAGCAGCCTGCCTTTTGGAGACGAGGTCCAACAGTGCCGTAAATCTCGAACCTATTGTTCAGCTAAACAGCCCTGTCTGTCTGAGCCTTTTGTTTGCACTCCCTCTTGCTCTGAGCCATATCCATGGTTGTAGGTGAGGGTGAGCTGTGACAGCCAGAGATCTCCCATCTGGTTCCTGGCTATTGAGCCCTGCTACTGGGTGAATAATGGGTAAATACTATAGTGCCCCTCATAGCCAGCTAGCTCCTGGGTGAAGGTCATGTGAGAAAGGGAATGGTGTATAGCAGTCAGTTATCTGGCATCTCTGAACTGCTGCTGATTGTAGCAGTGTGCACTGCAACATGTCGACAATGGTGGCGTCGGTCAGTGTGACTCATTTACCCTTCACACCTTTCTTCTTGTTTCTGTTTTTAGAAATCTGTCTATAAGATTTGCGAAAAGGTAGGAACACACACCCATTGTATGTTTCCATGCTGATTATGTTACTAACACCTCTGCCTCTCTTTCTGTCATCACTGCTCTTGCTGTCTTGTCACCCAGCCTTTCCTTCTTTCTGTTTCCTTCACTGTTCGGTGTTCTGAGGGCGAATGTGGGCTGTGTTGTTTTCTAAGGCGGCGCATGCTGTTTTGGAGGTGTGAGGGTTATTGAGGGTGGGGGACTGGAGTGGAGTGATGTCTGGGGCTTGTGGACAGTTAAGCACTTTTTCTCGGGAGCAAGCCTTTCCTATCCTGAGGACAGTAAGTTATTTGGGGTCACTTCTCCTGATTGCCTATCTAAGGTGGGACCTTCCGTTCATCTGTCTACAATGCATTCCCCCCCCACCCCGCCCCCAACACACAACTCCAATCCACCCACAGAGGACACAGCAGTAATGGAGAGACCAGAGTAAGCTGCAGTGCTCCTTTGGGATAGAATAACCGACCAACAGAGTGGCTTGTTGGTGAAGAACATTCACCTGGTCAAGATGCTGGAGGTGTTCCCTGTCCCCCTGGAGGCCGTGCTGTGGAGAGGAGCTGCTGTTTTCAGAATTCAGATTACGGTCAGAATCATTATCAGAGAGTGTGGCAAGGTCAGATTGCTCCCGTGAGGAATCTGCTCCTGTTTCTTTCAGTGCCAGAGTCTTCATGAGTAATGCTCTGGATCTGTGCGTTCAGAGTTTCACTTTAATACGAAAGCATGGCCAAAGCCGAATGGTTGAGTGTTTTCAACATTTAGGAGAGATCGGTGAAAGGGAAAGTTGCTGAGCGAATGGTGTTAATAAGAAATCAGTACGTTAGTGTGATAGGTCAGATAAAGATGTTCAGTCAGTTTGGAGCTAAGAAACAGCAAGGGGCAGCAAGTGTTGGTCAGAGGGGTGTATAAGCTCTCAAACGGTAGTGGTAATGTCGGGCATAGTATAAATCAGGGAATTAAAGAAGTGTATAGCAAAGGTAACAGAGTAATGATGGGCGACCTCGATCTCCGCGTAGGTCAGGTCAGCTCACTAGCACTAATACTGTGGAGGACCGGTTCCTGGAATGGGTGTGAGATGATTTTCTAGACAGTACATGATGAGTTAAGAATGCGCTATCTTACATTTAGCATTGTACTTTCAGAGGCCAAATTAATAACCTTGTAGTAAAGGAACCTTCAGGAAAGTGTGGCCAGAATATAGCAGGGCTTTTCCATTAAGTTCAAAAGCGATGTGTTTCACCCTGAAACTAAGGGCCTTTGATCTAAACCAAGAAGACTATGACCGAATGAGGGGCAAATTGGCTGTGACTATATTAAAACAATTAATAGTAGGTAGACAATGGCTAACATTCTTGGCCACACAATGGCTAAACATGGCTAACAACACATTTACATTCCTGCAGGGAAAGTAATACAAACATAGCTAACAAGGGAAGTTAAAGATTTTATAACATAGATTTATAAAGTTGCCAAAAAAGTAGTAAGTCCAAAGATTGGTAGCATTTTAGAATTCAGCAATGAGCGAGAAGCCTCGACAGGCGCACGCAAAAAGGGAAAGATTAGCAAATCAAATATGAGCCCATTGCAGGTAAAGGCAGGAGAATATGAAGTGGGGAAGAAGGAAATGGCAGAGTAACAAAACAATGACTTTGTATCTGACTTCCAGCAATACTAGGGACTCAAGGAGCTAGCAAGAATGAGGAACTGGGAGAAATTAGTAATGGTACAAAAGTAGTAATGGAGAAAATAATGGAAATGAAAGTTGATAAATCTGCAGGACCTGATGGTCTACATCCTAGACTGTTGGAAGGTGTGGCTTGAGAGATGGTCAACATTCTGTTTGATTCTGGAATGGTTTCTGCAGATTGGAAGGTGGCAGATGTAATCTCTCTGTTTAAAAAAAGATTAGAGAGAAAATGGGGAGCTACTGGCTTGTTAGCCTAACGTCAGTTGTAGGAAAAATGTTTGAGTCTGTTATAAAGGATGTGATAAGGGGACACTTCAACAATAATGGGAGGAGTGAACAGTCAACAGATTTCTGAAAGGGAAATTTCTGATTTTTGAGGGGATATATCTAGCAGAATCAATAAGGGGGAATGCAGTGGATTTGTATTTTCAGGAAGCGTTTCCAATGGTCCCACACAGAATGTTTGTAGGCAAAGTTAGGGTATGTGGCATGGGAGTTAATATAATGACAGACTGTGATCAGTGTGGGTACCACAAGGATCAGTGCTTAGTGTCCCAGCTGTCAACCTAGATTAATGATGTGGATGTGCAGGCTAAATCTAACATTTTCAAGTTTGCTGATAACACTGAAACTGAGGGGCTGGAATGTGACTTTGAGGTTGATGCAAGGAAACGTCAGGGTATTTTGACAAATTAGTGAGTGGGCTAAACAGGAGGAATATAATGCAGGCAAAGTTGTCCACTTTAAAAGTGGACCGGTGAGAGATTGGAAGAGTGCTGATGTACAAAGGGACTGAGCTGTCCTTGTCCAGGAGTTACTGAATGCTCACATGCTGGTTCCAGTAAACAATTCAGAAGACAAACAGTCTGTTGGCATTTATCACAAGAGGATTTATGTACAGGAGCCCAGAAGTATTGCTTCAATTACACTGAACACTGGTGAGCTTGCACCTGGAATATGTGTGTAGTTCTGGTCACCTTGCCCGAGGAAGGATATACTCTCCATAGAGATTCACCAGACTATTCGTGGGATGGTGGGACTGTCCTACGAGGAGAGTTCAAGGAGATTGGGCCTGTGTTCTCTTGAGGTTTCAAGGAATGAGGGGCAATCCCATAGAAACTTACAAACGTCTGAAAAGATTGACAGTAGATGCAGAAATGAGGTTTCCCCTGGCATTGGGGTCTATAAACAGGGATAGTTTCAGAGTAGGGGGCTGAATTAGGAATGAGATGAGGAGGAGTGTTTTCACTCTGTGCCCCAGACGGGCTGTGTCAGTCATTGGGCAGGTTCAAGTCCGAGAGATAGATATCTCGATGTTAAAAGATGCCAAGTAATACAGAGTTAGTGGAGGAAAATATGGTTGAGGTGGAAGGTCAACCATGAATGGCAGAGCAGGTGTGAGGGGCTGAATGGCCTTCTCATCTTATTTCCCGTGTTTCTCTGCAAAGTCTGAGAACTGATGAAATAAGCAAGTCCCGTTCATCTGATAGTTGGTGGTAACATAAAGTTCTGCACTTGTGTTGCATTGTAATTAGACCCGACTGTGCTGTCCCCAAGCAGGCAGGATCCTGTCTTGATGCCTCATGCCATGAGCCTCAGCTTTGTACAAACTAGAAAGTAGAGCCTGGGCTCTTCCCGTTCAGTCCTACTTACTGTGTAAGAGAATGCTCCTAGTAAGTGCCTCTCTAATCATTGAAATGTATCATTGTGATGTCCAGTTGTTTGGCCTCACAGCTAGAAAATTTACTGTCCAACTTCAGGAAGCCATGCATGTAAATTATATAAATTAAGAACAAGACTGGGCCTACTCCACGATGATCTAATTGTGGCCTTGACTCCACCTTTCTCCTTATGCCTGATAACCCCTGACTGCCTTATTGGTTTCAATTTTAAACAAAGTCCTCTTGTTCTAGTCTCTCCCACATCCGTATCCACCCTATCAAGTCCCCTCAGGATCTCATATGCTTCATTACAGATCAGCTCTCAGTCTTCAAAATGCCAGTGGATACAGGCCCAGCCTGTTCAAACTTTACACAAAAGATAACCCCCCAGCCCCAGGAATCAGTCAAGTGAATCTTTTCTGAACTGCTTTGAATACTTTCTGAAATAAGGAGACCAAAAGTGTACAAAGTATCCCACCCAATTAAATTACCTATATCCCTTTGCAGACACCTATCTTTATATGAACCAAAAATAATTGAGGTCCCAACACTAATCTGTGGCACTCCACTCATTATGTTTTGTCAATCAGAAAGTGTCCTATTTATGCGCACCCTCTACTTCCAATCAGCCAAATAATCCTCTGTCTGTGCTAATACATATAGCCCCTGCCCCTGCCCCATGGGCTGGTATCTGTGTGGCACCTAATCTACGCACAGCACGTCCACTGGTTCCTCTATAGACTTCACTTGTCAGTTCCACAAAGAACTCCCATAAATAAATAATTACTGTTTCTCCTTCACAAAACCATGACTGTGCCTGATTGCTTTCAGATTTTCTAAGTGTCCTGTTCCTTTACAGAAGATTCCAGCATTTTCCCTATGACAGATGTTAGGCTACCTGACCACTAGTTTCCTGCTTTGTGTCTCCCTTGAATAGAAATATTACATCCACTGTTTTCCCATCTGATGGGTCCTTTACAGGAATTTTTGAAGATTTAAAATCTCAGCACCCACTTGTTTTTTTACACCGAGGTCGTAGTCATTCTGGGCCAGGAGGCTTGTCAGGTTTCAGCAATATTGCTTTTTGCTGTACCATCTCCCTGGTGATTACTATTTAAGTTCCTCACTCTCTCTCAGCCTGTGATTCAGTTATTTCCTGGATGTCATTTGTATCCACTACAGTGAAAACAAATGTTCACTATTTGTTCAATTCCTCTTCCATCTCACATTTTTCTATTAGTTCCCAGACACAATCACTTTACTTGCTCATTTCCTTGCTAAATACTTACTGAAACTCTTTCTACCTGTTTTTATATTCCTAGATGGCTTTCTGTTGTACTCTTAATTTTCCTCTCCCTATTAACCTTCCAGTCATTTTGTGCTATTCTGTATATTCTGTCGAGTTTTCTCACCTGCCAGCCATCATTGTGAATGATACACTCGTTCTTTCAGTTTGATGCTATCTTTAACTTTAGTTAACCCATTGAGGGTGTCCTCCTTTACCATCTTTCATTCTCACTGGCATATATGTTTCTGCACCTCACCCACCCCCACATCGCCCTGACCACCCATTCCATCCCACCACACCCCACCGCTATCTCCCAAGCCCACTTCCTCTTCCAGCAAAGCCCATCCACTTCACATCAGCTTCGAGCTCAGAAGGAGAGAAGGGGAGACAGTAAATTACTGACTTTGGGTACATCGGCCTGTGCTGTCACTGTTTCTTTGGGTCTGGAGCAAGGTTGGAATCCAAATGGATAGGGTGTTGGCTGGCAGTTTCTCAAAGTGCATGCTTGGTCTAACCTTGAACGTGACTAACCTGTTTCTGTTTGTGTCGAGTTTAACAGTTGTATTTAATGGCTAATTTACAGTTCTACAAGGTACTTTTGCAGCAAAGATACTAGACTCCTCCCAATCTGCTACAAGTGTAACCTGCCTGTTGTCTTAGCTGTTGGACTCTTACTTCAACCCCAGCTGCAGGGTGGAGACACTGGGTGTGAATGGAATTGCAGCAGGACAACATTGGGAGATGACGAACCCAGAGCTCTGTCAGGTCAACACTGCAGCATAGTGCTTGGAGGCAACTGGAGAGGAGTGCTTAAATAGACTGTAAACTAGTGATTAAACCATCCCAAAAACAATCCCACTTCTATCAGTAACGCACCCCAAAATCAAATCACCCGCCCTGGGTCAGTAACGCACCCTGAAATCCCCCCTCAATCAGTAATGCACCCCGATATTAATCCCCCCCTTGATCAGTACCGCACCCTGAAATCGATCCCCTTCGGTCAATAACACACCCTGAAATCGATCCCCTTCGGTCAGTAACGCACCCTGAAATCGATCCCTTCATCAGTAATGCACCCTGAAATCGATCCTTTGTCAATAACGCACCCCAAAATCGATCCCTTCGTCAGTAACACACCCTGAAATTGATCCCCTTGATCAGTAATGCACCCTGAAATTGATTCCCCATTTGTCAGTAACGCACCCCGAAATCGATCCCCTTGATCAGTAACGCACCCCGAAATCGATCCCCTTGATCAGTACTGCACCCCGAAATCGATCCCCTTGATCAGTACTGCACCCTGAAATCGATCCCCTTGATCAGTAACGCACCCCGAAATCGATCCCCTTCGGTCAGTAACGCACCCTGAAATCGATGCCTTCGTCAGTAACGCACCCTGAAATTGATCCCCCCTTTGTCAGTAACGCACCCTGAAATTGATCCCCTTGATCAGTAACACACCCCGAAATCGATCGCCTTGATCAGTACTGCACCCTGAAATCGATCGCCTTGATCAGTAACGCACCCCGAAATTGATCCCCTTGATCAGTACTGCACCCTGAAATCGATCCCCTTCGGTCAGTAACGCACCCTGAAATCGATCCCCTTTGTCAGTAATGCACCCTGAAATCGATCCCCTTTGTCAGTAACGCACCCCGAAGTAGATCCCTTCGTCAGTAACGCACCCCCCAGAGGGCTCTTGAGGTATAGTGGTAACATCCGTATCTCTGAGCTAAAAGGCCCAGGTTCATGACCCTGCTGTTCCATAAGTGTCTAATAACATTTCTGAACAGGTTGATTTAAAAACAAAAGACCCTCACCATCCGTGTTGATGCTGTTCCGTCTGAGGTACTTGGCCGTATGTTATGGAGGTGGTGTGCTGTGCTGCTGTCTGTACAGTGTGGCAGCCTGCTCTCAGGAAGAGATAGCAGTGAACAGATCCAGCACGTGGGTGTGGGACAGTGTGGGCTGTGGCTGGTGTGGGTTCACTCTGGGTTGCTGAGGGATCTCTGCAGTGCCTCTAGCAGGAACGTAAGGATGGAAACGTGAGGAGTTGCATCAGTTTGTAGTTTCTGTGGAAAGACTCCCTGAAACATACAACTCTGTTTATGAGGGAGGTTGTTCAGGACCCACAAGCCTATCAAGCGGGGCTTAAGGGCTTCAGGGTAACAGGATGTTCCACCTGCTTGTTGATTGCAGTTTTATGTAAACAAACATATTCCCTTTGTTTTGTTCTAAATTTGAACTTTGATTATTTTTTTGAGGATGCCTATTGAGGGAGACAGCAGAGAGGGAGCTGAGAGCTCAAGGTGAGAATGCAAAACCATTTCTATAAAGCTTGTGCCTCTATCATCTCCACACTTTCCAATTTCAGCTCAAGATCAGCCTATGACAATCAAGCTCAAACCAGATCCCGGCTACAACTCAAAGCTGGTGACATTCCCAAAGAAATTTCCTGTGTTAGTTTCTCCCTTGTTCTTCTATACATGGAAGACCAACACCCAGCAGTGTGTGTATGTGTGCCTGTGTGTGTCAGTCGTGCCCAGAGCAGCTGGCTTTGTATGTACGTGTGTGTCAGTCGCCTCCAGTGCAGTGAGCTGTGTGTGTGTATCAGTCACACCCAGAGCAGTGAGCTCTGTGTGTGTGTGTGTGTGTGTGTGTCAGTCAGT